ACTGCCAGCCAAGATGGCGGCTGGCAGCCAGGCAGCTTGAAACTAACATGAGGCTTGCTTGCTTCAGTGACGGAGGAAACCAATGTTCCCCCCTGCCGCTGCAGGCCTCTGAGCTGCAACTCTAAGCAACTATGTAACAAATATAGAAGCTAAACAAAACCCCAGAAACCTGCTTTAGTCCACTGGGCTTCAGCCAGCCGGATCGCAACATTGTAAGCAAAGGCCAGAAACCTACTTTCAGCAGCAGAGGCCTAAGAACTGGAGCCAAGCCTCAAAGCTAAAGCTGGCCCAGAATAAAAAAAAAGAAAAGAAATAAAGGAGCAGTTGGGAGCTTCAGTCACCCCCAGCCTGAAAACAGCCCTCAGCCCCTCACCCAGACTAGCCAGGCACCCCAGTGGGGACCCCCACCCTGAAGGGTGTGTGACCAGCTGCAAACAGCCATCATCCCCTCATCCAGGCTGGCCAGGCACCCCAGTGGGGACCCCCACTCTGATCCAGGACACCCTTCAGGGCAAACCAGCCGGCACCCACCCATGCACCAGGCCTCTACCCTATATAGTAAAAGGGTAATATGCCTCCCAGCACCGGGATCAGCGTGACAGGGGGCAGCGCCCAAACCCCCTGATCGCCCTGTGGCTCTGTGTGTGACAGGAGGCAGGGCCACAACCTCCCTATCCACCCTGCTCTGTTCGTGACAGGGGAAGGCGCCCCAACCCCCTGATCAGCCCTGCTCTGTGACTCATAGGGGGGAGATCCCCAACCCCCTGATTGCCCTGCGGCTCTTTGTGTGACAGGGTGCAACGCCCCAACCCCCTGATCGGCCCTGCTCTGTGTGTGACAGGGTGTGGCGCCCCAACCCGCCCCCCCCCCCAAGGGCCCTGGTCTGTGTGTGATGGGGTAGAGCCATAACCTCCCCATCGGCCCTGCCCTGAGTGTGAGAGTGGCGGCGCCCCAACCCCCTGATCAGCCCTGCTCTGTGGGTGATAGAGGGCGGCCCCCCAACCCCCTGATTGGCCCTGCTCTGTATGTGACAGGGTACAGAGCCCCAACCCCCCTGATTGGCCCTGCTCTGTGAGTGACAGGGGGCAGTGCCCCAACCCCCTGATTGGCCCTGCTCTGTGTATGACAGGGGGTGGCGCCGCAACCTCCCAATCAACCCTGCCTTGAGTGTGACGGGACGGTGCCCCAACCCCCCAATCGGCCCTACCCTGAGCGTGACTGAGGGTGGCATCACAACCTCCCGATCACCCTGCTCTGTGCATGATAGGGGAAGGCGCCCCAACTCCCCAATCGGCCCTGCTCTGAGCCCGACCAGGGGCTGCACCTAGGGATTGGGCCTGCCCTCTGCCACCCGGGAGCAGGCCTAAGCCAGCAGGTCGTTATCTCCCGAGGGGTCCCAGACTGCGAGAGGGCACAGACCGGGCTGAGGGGCCCCCCTCCCCCCCGAGTGCACAAATTTTGGGGCACCAGGCCTCTAGCCTTATATAATAAAAGCCTAACATGCAAATTGACTGAATGGTGGAACGACTGGACGCTATAATGTTCACTGACCACCAGGGGGCAGACGCTCAATGCAGGAGCTGGCCCCAGGTCAACCAAGGCTGGTGCCAGTGGGGGCCCTCCAATTGCCCTGCTGCTTGCCCTGCAGAGGGAGGCAACTGGCAGCGGTGGTGGGAGGTGGGGCCAGTGAGTGGGTGGCACCAGGCTGGCCAAGGCGGGTGCCAGTGGGGGCCCCCTGACCACCCTGCCGGTCACCCCACAGATTGGCCCTGGTCACCAGCCAGGCCTAGAGACCCTACTTGTGCACTAATTTTGTGCACCGAGCCTCTAGTGCTATTATAAATATTTGTATACAAGTATCTCTTTGAGTCTCTGCTTTCAATTCTACTAGGAATATAACCTACGAATGAAATTGCTTTATCTGTGCTAATTCTATGTTTAACATTTTGAAAGAATGCTAAATTGTTTTTCATGGAGACTATCCCACCACCATTGCATGCAAGTTTCAATTTCTTCACATTATTGTTAACATTCTTATTTTCTTTGCGTTTTGATGATACTTCTAACTTGTGAGATGTGGTATATCATTGTGGTTTTGATTTGCATTCTCCTAATGACTAATGGTATTGAGCGTCTTTTCATGTGCTTATAGGCCATTTGTGTATCTTTTTTTGAGATGTGTCAATTCAAATCCTTTGCCCATTTTTGAATTAAGTTTTGTTGTTCTTGTTAAGTTGTAGGAATTCTTTATAATTCTCAATATTAGTTCAGATTTACAAAGATTTTGTTCCATTAGGTGGCTTGTCTTTTCACTTTCTTGATAGTGTCCTCTGATGCACATAAGTTTTTAATATTTCAAAATTGAGATAAATGGACATGTAACTTTTTACTAGCTTCAGGTGTACAACATAATACCTCACTCTCCAGCTGAAGAACCCCTGGACCTCTCCACAATCCTCCAACAAGAAGATTAACATCTGACTAAGTAGGGGGTCTTTAAGGCTGCTTCCATTCTAATAGGTCAATGCCTGGTGCCACAGGGATTCACAATTATTTTGAATATCATCCTACTGGAAATTGAAGCCATTCCTTTTTAACTCTTCAGTGTCTCTGCATTTCTGTCTTATCTAACTTGAATTTCATTCCTATTCTGACAGTATTTTTAGTTCTGCATTATGAGTCAGGTCAAATATTACCTCTTCTGTGAAGTTTTCCTATATACTGTGAGGATGATTTAGGTCCTCCTGTTTTATATTTCTTTTATACTTAGTGTATATCTCCATAATAGTAGTGATTTCATATGGTTTATCTGTATATATGACTCCCCATTAGATGCAATGTCATTTCCCCTGAGCATCTCCAGTGCTTAGAATAGTGTGAGTACATACATATATTTGCTGAATGAAACAATAAATTCGTTAGTTAGATCAACTATTAGGTAGACTGGCTAAAGAGACTATAAATGGTTGAAGATATTTAAGGATATTTGAATATAATAAAATATCCTAGTTGGAGTCTGAGGGAGACAAGTGTAGAATATGAGCATACCTAAGAAAATTAATGAATTGTTGAGTTAATGCTGGATTATTTTTCTTTTTGTCATTAGCCTAGACCTGTGGGTGGCAAACTGTGGCTCACGAGTCACATGCGGCTCTTTGGCCCCTTCAATGTGGCTCTTCCACAAAATGCCACGTGCGGGCGCGCACGTATAGTGCGATTGAAACTTTGTGGCCCATGTGCAGAAGTCAGTATTTTGTGGAAGAGCCACACTGAAGGGGCCAAAGAGCCACATGTGACTCACGAGCCGCGGTTTGCCGAGCTGCAGTTTGCCGGCAAAGTGAAATCATATGGAACTTGGAACTTTTAATCCAGTTATCTACTCTTATGCACTTGGACTGCTTCCAAATCGTGGCTATTATAAATAACACTGCAATGAACACAGGAGTGCATATTATTAATGAACATAATAAACTAACAAAGTGAATACAGACTCATGGATAGAGAGAACAGACTGACAGCTGTCAGGGGGGCAGAGGTAGGGGCTAGGTGAGATGGGTGAAGGGATTAAATAAAATAAGAAAGACTCATGGACACAGATAACAGTATGGTGATTGCCAGAGGAAAGGGGGCTAGGGGAGGTAGAAGAGGGTAAAAAGGGGATAAATGGTGATGGAAGGAGACTTGGGGTGGTAAACATACAATACAATATACAGAGTATGTATTATAGAATTGTATTCCTGAAATCTATATAATTTTATTAAACAATATCACCCCAATAAATTCAATTAAAGAATCTAATTGTATTTTCCTGACTTAAATCTTTTAAGTGATTTCTCATTGCTCTCACAATAAAGTTCAGCTTTTAGGTAAGAAATCTATTAAATCAGTTCTCACATTAGAGATGACCTCTTCTAGGAAGGCATTACTGATTCTCCAAGTCTGAATTAGGTGATTCTCCTACCTATATCAACTAAATTGAGAGGCCCAAATTATAAAAATAAGCACTACTTTGCACTACTTTCTTATTACTCACAAACATTTCCCATTTACTATTCCGCCTCCTCCACTGTAGTACATATTTCTTGAGGACAGGCGCCTAATATAGGTCTGGTACACAGTGATTATTAACTAAATATTAAAGGAATAGATTAATTTAAGGGAGAAATTACATTAAAAAATCAACAACCAAACTCTATGATCTATTATTTGTCAGGCTCTTGTTGCTTTACAAAACACATTACTTTTACCCTGTCATTTAGTCCTCGCAACGGATTTTAACTGTAGGCATTATCACCATTTTAGAGATGAGAAAACTGAGTGACACACTTATTCCGGGTAACAGGCAAGTCCCTCCAATACTTGGATTTGAATCCAGAAGTCCCAACCGAGTAGCACCTTCCCGTCCCACTGGTTTTCATTAAGGGTCGGCTCCCAACGTAAGACTGAGGAAGAGGGATCCTTCTGGTGGGAAGGTATGATCAGAAGTGCTTGCTCTGGCGCAGGACAACTGAAAGAAAAGACGTGTGTTCCTCATCGCCTCATTACTCATACAATTTAAAGCACACTTTGTGAATTTTTAATATAAACAATGAACAAATCAACACACTCCAGCTTTTTTGAAAACCTTTTCCCTCAGCTCTGTAACTTCCACCTACCTATTTCCTCACTTCCTTCTTTCTAAGCCTCATAGAGGGCGCTCACAAAGTGCTCCTCACTGGGTGAGGGAAGTTCTGAGAAAGACACCTCACACTGCAACCGAAAGACACAGCGCCACCACCTCAGACCTTCCGTTTTCTACAGCAGGAGGCGGGGCTAATTTTCCTCATTCAAATAAAAAACCAGGCAATTTGCATGGAGATCAGGCAATCTGTGAGCCTATTGGCTGATAGCACAGAAGGCGTGGCCAAGAAGACGTCCACCGAGCCCCGCCTACATTAATTTGCATAACGGCCTCGCGTGCAAGGGAGAAGCGGGTTTGTTTTTGAATCTGCGGCAGCGGCGGCGGCGGCAGCTTCGGTGGTGGCGACTGACGCGCGCGAGCCGGAGGCGGCAGCGTTGGGGACGGCAGCGCGGAACGGCGCTGTGGGAAGGAACTTAGTTCCCCTTCCCTCATCTTCCGCCCGGAAAGGTATATGTGCCTCCTAGGGGCTGTTATAACCATGTTTTCTTGAATTACTATTGTATTTCTGAAGAGTCAAGACCGCATTATGGCGGCCGCGGGAGTTGCGTTTGCGCGTGCGCGGTTGCGGGCGCGCGCTGCATGGGAGCACGTGATCTTGCGGGGTCGGCCTCTAGCTGCAGTTGTGCAGCTGGCGGGGCGGTGGCTGCGCAAGCGCAATATGCATTTTCAAGATCTAATGTTCTTGTGGGACGCCATTTGGGTTCTAGATTTAATTTTCCTCATTCTTGAGAGGGTTACATTTTGTTACCCTCAAATTCCCACATTTTTCAAGAAAAACGCTTCACTGATGTTGAAGCGTTAAACTGACCTTAAACTGTTTTCTTCTGTTTCTCTGATTCTCTGAGAGGCTGTGGACTTAATTTTCTGTGAAAGTGATTGTCACCTATGGTTCTGGATTATGATTTCACTTTTAGAGTTTTGCTGGATTCAAGTTTATATTTAGGCAGGTGAAGATCAGCACCTAGTGGTGGTCATACAGGAAATGCATTTATTTGAACTGCATATTTGCAAATACATTTTTAACCCTGTTTTTACCAGTGTTGTTGTGAATGTTTACAAAATAGAAACAATTTGAGTTTGGGAAATATGAGGGGGAGGGCCCATTGGAAAGACAATGTGATGTTGTTTAAAATGAAATCTCAATCTCCTTTGGGTATTTATTTTTAGAAAATATTTCATCCTGAGTCAGTGAAGATTTAATTTTAATTAGTTTGTGTGCTTCTGATCATACTTGCATTAGAGTTATACATTTTTTCGATCTCTGATCACTTGCCCATTATTGCTTCAGTTAGATCATTTTTGTTACTGTTTTAAAATTAATTCATTTTCTTAGCATTTTGTTTATGATATGTAAAATATAAAACGTGATGAATTTTTCTGATCAAGAATTCTGTAAAGAACTTCTAACTACACTGAGGCCTTTGTGAGGAAATTAAGTGAACCATCAATAAAAATAAAATCAGTTGATTTACAAAAATACACTGACCACATATGTATAAGGTAATACTGTGTTTGATTTTTTAAAATTGTAAGTTTGTTCCTGGTTTTACTTTCGTAAAGAAGGTAGTTATAAGTATGCACGTGATTATTTTAGTTTAAAATGGTAGTGTCATTATATTTTAATCTTACATAACACCTCTGGGAGAAGTTTTATACGATTTAATATAATTCTTCCATTGTGCAAATTATTTCTTACTGGGCTAAAAACTTGTAAATGGTTTTCGTAAGCTTCATCTATGGTTTGTATACAAAATAATTCCTTTCTCGATAAGTTTAAATAAGTCCCCTGTCAAATGAAGAAGTGGCTATTGCTTTGTAATCTTGGTTGCTTTAGGATTATTTTTAATGCCTAAAATAAGTACCATTAGTAGTACTAACAAGATGTAGTTGAAAGGAATACTTGTGGTTGTGGATTTTTAAGAAATGATATCACATATGAGATAGAATGGAGTGATAGGAAATATTATTTTTTCTTCACAGAAAATTTGTTGCTGATATAGTTCCTGGGCTTCTGGAGTCTCCTACACAGAAATATATTTAGAGGGCACTTGTGCAATTTTCCCTTTTATGCTTCTGGAGTGGTTTACCCAGCAGACCCCTCTCCCACTTCCTTTGACATTGTTTCTGATGTTTTATTAGAGTTAAAAATATGTTGTACTGTCTGTATTTGTGTGTCTGTATGTGTGATATGTGTAGAGACATACATATTTAGGTAAAGAAAAGAACTTTGATCTTAGGGCATGGTACACTTTGCATTTCCAGAAAAGTGAAATATTTTGGTTTATATATTTAAGCTGATGTTTTAATTTGAATATACAAACGATTGCCTCTTAGGTTAATGCTAAAGATCATAAGAGGTACTTGAAAACACTGAAGAACATAATGAACAATGTAAATATTTATTGGTGGGACAATTTTGCTGTCATGTTTGTTAGAAAGGCAAATACAGTTCTATAAACTTAAAACTAAGATTAATGAATTGTGTGAACCTCCACTCTTTGTTCATCCGTGCGCTGTCAGTACAAGCTTGTTTTGAAATTTTACTTTGATAGTTACGATGCTGCAAAATTTTGACACGTATGTAGCATATATAAATATTAAAACTAAGTTACTCCAGGAATGCATAAAAGTTACTGGGGTTATTTTGTGAATTTTAAGCATTGTAGAATTTAGTTCAGATAAGGTTTGATGAAGCCATAAACCATTAAAATTGGCTTTTTAATAATTTAAATGTATGATAAAAATATAAATTTTTTTTTTTTTTTTACTACTTATAACACATTAGGAACATATTGAAATTAATTAACATTTAGAAATAAATGCTCTAAATGTTTTGGTGATTTTTGTGACCTTTGTGATAATTGATTGACCTGTTTTTAATTTAGTATTATAGTATTGTGGATATTTTCCCATTCTGTTAAAACGTTCCTATTACTGGTTTTTACTGAGTGGAAGGGAGAGGGATAGAGAGAAAAACTGATGAGAGGAAACATCAGTTGGCTGCATCCTGCCTGCCCCCCCTACTGGGGATTGAGCCTGCACCCAGGCATATGCCCTGATCAGGAGTCGAAGCATGACGCTCAACCACTTAGCCACATTGGCCAGGCTTATTATTCTTTTAGAATGCGTGTTTTTTTAAAAAATATATTTTATTGATTTTTTTTTTACAGAGAGGAAGGGAGAGGGAAAGAGAGTTAGAAACATCGATGAGAGAGAAACATTGATCAGCTGCCTCCTGCACACCCCCTACTGGGGGTGTGCCCGCAAACAAGGTACATGCCCTTGACCGGAATCGAACCTGGGACCCTTCAGTCTGCAGGCCGATGCTCTATCCACTGAGCCAAACCGGTTAGGGCTAGAATGCGTTTTTTTAATGGTTATATGATATATAGTGAAAATATCCCAAATTATTAAATATTCAACAAATGTTTTTAAATGGCCACATAATATTATCACTGCTAGAGGCCTGGTGCACGAAATTCTTGCACTGGGGGGTGCGGGGGGGTCTCTCAGCCCAGCCTGCACCCTCTCACAGTCCTGGACCCCTTGCTCCTTACTGCCTGCCTGCTTGCTGCTCCTTAGCGCTGCTGTGGAGGCAGGAGAGGCTCCTGCCACCACCACTGTGCTCGCCAGCAGTGAGCCCGGCTTCTGACTGGGGAGTGCACTGACCACCAGGGGGGCAGCTCCTGCATTGAGTGTCTGCCCCCTGGTGGTCAGTGCACATCATAGCGACTGGTTGTTCTGGTTGTTCCGCTGTAAAGGTCGCTTAGGCTTTTATTATATAGATTTAGATTGTGCTGTGACTTACTAAACCTGTTTTGTTGTTGTTAGTCCTCACCTTAGGATATTTTTCCATTGATTTTTAGAGAGTGGAAGGGAAGGGGAGGGGTGGAGGAGAGAGAGAGAGAGAGAGAGTGAGAGAGAGAGAGAGAGAAAGACATCAATGTGAGAGACGTTAATTGGTTGCCTCCCGCACATGGGATCAAACCTGCAACCCAAGTATGTGCCCTGACCCTTCAGTGTGATGGCTGGCTGATGCTCTAACCACTGAGCATACTAAACCTTCTTGTTGACCATTTTGCTTATTGCCCATTTTCTATTATAACTGATATTATAATTGAAGTGAACATCCTTGAACATGAGTCATGATCTACTTTTTATAATTTATTTGAAACTAGAGGCCCAATGCACCGGCTTCCCTCTAGCACCCAGGACCTGGGCTTCCCTCGCAGCCCCAGCTTCATCCGGAAGGATGTCCAGAAGGACGTCTGGTCTAATTAGCATATTACACTTTTATTATTATAGATTACTGTTTTAAATTAATTTACAAAATTGATAACAGATTATTTGAATAGCATTTCCCATACCATTATCACAGTGGTCGGCAAACTGTGGCTCGCGAGCCACATGCGGCTCTTTGGCCCCTTGAGTGTGGCTCTTCCACAAAATACCACGTGCAGGCGCGCACTTACAGTGCGATTAAAACTTTGTGGCCCATGTGCAGAAGTCGGTATTTTGTGGAAGAGCCACACTCAAGGGGCCAAAGGGCTGCATGTGGCTTGCAGCCACAGTTTGCCAACCACTGCACTATCAGTTTGATGGTTGAAAATAGTATCTTATTAGCTTCTTCTTTTCTATAATTAGTAAACTTGAACTTTTTTTTGCCTGTGCTCTACCTGTGAGTCAGTTTCTATTTTGCTTGGTAGTTCAGTTTCTTCATTAAATTCCACATATGAGTGATATCATAATGAGGACTTGTCTTTCTCTGACTGGCTTATTTCACTTAGCTTAATATTCTCCAGGTCCATTCATGCAGTTGCAAAGGGTAAAAATTTCTTCTTTTTAATGGCAGAGTAGTATTCCATTATGTAAATGTACCACAGCTTTTTAATCCACTTATCTACTGATGGGCACTTGGACTACGTTCAAATTTTGGCTATTGTAAATGATGCTGTAATGAACATTGGTCTGTTGCTTCCCCTTGACCTGAGATGGAACCCACAAGCTGGGTATGTGCTGGGAACAGAAATCGAACCTGAGACCTTTCAGGTGTGTGTAATAGGACTACATTTCTATTTTTAATCTGCTTTAGGACATAATGACATGAAAATAGTGCAAATTATGAAGTTAGAAGTAGGAAAAATACGATAAAATGTTCTACAATTTTTAAACTAAAATTTTCTTGTTTAACATAGACTTTTTTTTTTCAATGGAGGAATTTTGGTTAAATCTCCATTAAATCTACTGTTTGTACTGATTGCACTGAAAAGCAAGATTTGCTTATTAGTGATCTCTTTCAGTTATAATTCTATTTTATCACTTACATAATGAGTATAGGAAAGAAAGTAAGTTTATTTCCAAAACATTTGTATTGAACTCTTTAAACTTGAAATTAGTGAAAAGGAGAAAACAAGGAAGTAAAGATAGAACTCAAAATACTATTGGTT